AAGCAAAACTGGAGCCATTTGCAAACTTAACTGGAGATGAGAGCTATCAAAATCGTGACCTTGAAAAGGTTATAATGTGACGTTTGTGCGGTCCATACTCGACTGCTTAACTCATGTACTCATAATCTCTATGATATTCTTTAGGCTGCACAACAAGTATCCAAACACTTCTATGATGAAAAAGTTCAGCCATCTACCTTAATGCCAAAACAAGTTGGAAATATGTACACAGCATCCCTATATGCAGCACTTGCATCAGTCATTCATAACAAATATGACACCCTGGTAAATCTCCTTGTTATGTTAGTAGTCCAATTTTGTAAATTTCATTTGTGTAATTACCGTTTTTTGAAATTTTTTTATGTTTGCAGGGTGGTCAGCGAATAGTTATGTTCTCATATGGCAGTGGCCTTGCTTCTAGTATGTTCTCATTCAAACTTAATGATGGCCAACATCCATTCAGCCTATCAAACATAGCCTCAGTGCTAAATGTTGCAGAAAAGCTGGAGGCAAGACATGAGGTATATTTCTGTTAGACTAATAATTATAATGGATAGTTTTGGAGTTTGTGAGTCATTATAGGTCTTGGTAATTTATAGTTATTAGTATTTATTAGATAGCTAATAAGTATTTAGATTTCGTTTGAGACGGCTTTCTTATTTCTTCTTAAAGCAGTTTTTTAGTTAAAAAATTTGTTTTAAGAAGCAATAAGAAAGTTGTCCTAAACGAAGCCTTAATGACAGTCTTATTATTCTATAAATGCTCTTTAAGGAGTATTAGGGAAAGCAAAATGAATGAATGAAATGAGATATGCCTCTATCTCTGAGTTTTGTGATACTTTCTTCCCCCATTCAGCTCTAGCAGCTATTGTTTTTATCTTAGGCTTCATTTGGGACGATTTTTTTTGCTGCTTCTTAAAGCACCTTTTTAAATGAGGCTTTAAGAAGCAACAAAAAAATCGTCTCAAATGAGACATTAATCATACATGCAGCATCTAATTTACTGTAATAATACATTGCTTCCTATCTATATATTTGGTTTGCTCAGTTTCCGCCGGAAAAATTCATCGAGACAATGAAGCTGATGGAGCATCGCTATGGAGCGAAGGATTTTGTGACGACGAAAGACACCAGCTTGCTCTCTCCTGGTACGTTCTACCTCACGCATGTCGATGCCATGTACCGAAGATTTTATGCCAAGAAGGGTGCTGCTGTGACCAGTGCGGCTGGAAAAGTTGCTGGCCTGAATGCCAGTTTCCTTGCCAATGGCCACTAGAATAGGCGCCAATGGTGATATGCTTAGATCCCCTTCTATTTATCTGTAGTGTGTTCCTCTGATGAGCTCAGTAAGTGAAAGCCTTTTTCTCATTTGTTTCTGTTAATTTGGACTTTAGTATGTTCAATTTGTTTGTTTTCTTCGTAGACTTCTCTGAGCACGATTTACTATGTTTGAAAAAAAAATAAAGGTCAGTAATTTTTTTTGTCAATTTTCTTGTCTCAGTAGGCAAAAGCCTTGGCATTCCTATCCGAAGGGTTGTTCGGCCACCAAAGTCTCTGCTGGTGGGCAAATTGTTGTGTCCGGTGTCCGGATTTGTCCAGACACCAATAAAAACGTGCCACGTCACTCAAAAATACTGGGGCCC